GCTGAAGGCCCCGCCTTCTGGCCAGTCAACTGCATATTTTTGCATAGAAAAATGGTGACACGTTGCAACGCTGAGTGGCCCTTCTGGTACTGATCTTTCTTCTGTGACGCGGATAAACACTTCGATTTTCTTGTTTGTTATGTTTTGAAAGTTTTTCTCCAGGTAAACCCCACAAAAGCGGTAGGTTTCGCTAATTTTATTTATTTAAATCAATTTGTAGGTAAGACGTGATGTTCTTAATGCATGTTGATAAAATTTAGTATATATTTCCCTCTTAAACGTTGCCAAAGCAGTATTGGCTACGGATACGAAGACGAGAGATTGTCTCCCTATTTTATATTCGATTTTAAGTCGCTGTTGTACGGATTTTAGACTATTTTTGTGTTTTATTAAAAGTCAACAGTCATACATAAGACATACTATACTGCAAATCCTTTAAAAATTGTAAAACATCTGCGTTTCTAGGAAGAAAATAGTCATCACAAACTTCATAATAATAAATTATATTCTGGCTGGCTTAAATATTTACTCTTCAGATGGCACTTCAGCTTTGAACATGTAACACAAATTTGTTTGATTAACATCACTGATTTGGGAATACGACGAGCATCTGCCATAAATATGCTGACTTTTTTGCTATGAACATATATTTCGTTGTGGCCAATCAGAAGCCAGTTCAATCTCGTTCCCCGAGCATGCCCGTTCGCAGGTTAAGGGTTGGCATAGCTCTGGAGAAATCGAATTGATTCACGTTGAATTTCCAACGTGAGTTCTACGCATGCTCGGCAATGTTGCAAAATATAAATAAAGTATTTAGAATTTCGCGTCGAAAATTTGAAACATTTTACACTGAAATCGAATAAAAATTCTGGGGGAAATATGTACGAAAGCTTCGGTTGGATAGGGATACATGAGCTACCTGAAAAATACAAGAAGAACTTCGACGTTTCGAGCGAAGGCCCTTCGATCTGTTCTATAGTGTTTGTATACATCGTACTTGACCTTTGCTGATAAATATAATCTCCTCAATAATAAGTATTATATATTTTTATACTTTAAAATTTACATTTAACTCTCCTGTCAGAATTTATGGTATACGTAGTGTTGTCGAGAACTACAACCTTTAGTAATATATTTATAGTAAACCGCTCGATAAACATACATTTTGTGAAAAACTAACTTCAACAACGTGCCTAAAACCATAGATATAGGACATCTAGATTGCTAACGCATACCTAGCGCAGGCGGGGCCTACATGATAAATCCAAGATAGCGGTAAAACAGGGCAAAAAGACTATAAATTCTATTACGAAAATCAGGATTTTTGCATTTTTTGCCGTCGCATTGTTTTGAAACTTATTCGGTCAAATTTTATGGTAAAGAGAAACTTACCGCGAAGATTTTGAGCATATATATGATTGGATTGGATGAAAAATCGCAAAATTATCCGCGATAAAAGTTCGTGTATAGTACTGATATAGTACTATATATGTAACTTGTACAGTTTTGCTTTAATTTTTGCTCACTATTTGCATAAAAAGCAAATTATAACAGACCATAGATGATAGACCCTTAACAGACCATAGATTTTTCATAATTATGAGGACAGAGCAGATGATGATGAGAGATGCAAGTATAAAACACCATTCACAAGGCTAGATGTTAACATAGCACAGTATTTCTGGCAATACAAACGCTCCAACTGACCAACTGACCATTTCACACGAACTTTTATCGCTGGATAATTTTGCGATTTTTCATCCAATTCAATCATATATATGCTCAAAATCTTCGCGGTAAGTTTCTCTTTACCATAAAATTTGACCGAATAAGTTTCGAAACAATGCGACGGCAAAAAATGCAAAAATCCTGATTTTCGTAATAGAATCTATAGTCTTTTTGCCCTGTTGTACCGCCATCTTGGATTTATCATGTAGACCCCGCCTGCGCTAGGTATGCGTTAGCAATCTAGATCTCCTATTCTAAAACGTTCATCTGAGTCCACTGTCCGACCGCTGGCACTATTGACGAATACTTAATGTAATGAACAATATACTAATATACTCTAAATGTTCCTAATTCACGACATCCTCCTGCGGGCTACGAAGTGTTTCAGTCCAAGCCGAGATCTTTCGCGACGCTTTCTTCGCAGCCTCACGTACCGGTCTTTTTGGAATTTCGGATACAATTTCCTTGGGATCACCAACTTCTCGTTCAACTGGGCTGTCCGAGGATTTCTCGCTGTCGACTAGTTCTAGCGGGTAGAGCTTTGTAATTGGTCGATTGGTCTTTCCCTTGCTGGTGCGTAGATTTACAGCACGTACCAGACCATCTTTTCTTCGTATCAGGCTTTCGATGACTGCCATTCTCCCGGTTTGTCGCTGTGTATTAAAACCACGTCTCCTACTCGAACTGATTGATCGTTGTTTCCTGTACTCTTATGAAATTCTCGGAGAGAGGTTAGGTATTCTTTTCTCCATCGTGATTCAAAATGCTTCAACCGTAATGCTTGCGATTTTGCTCTTCTTCTGACTTCAGAATCGTCCATGAAATCTGGATCTTCGACCTCGTCTTCGTCTACGTCTGGATAGGGTAATGATGTTATTCGTCTCCCGTAGAGGAGGTGGGCTGGAGTGAGAGGTTCGGGGTCGTTCACGTCGGAGGAAACATAGGTAAGCGGTCGATTGTTGAGTACTGCTTCGATTTCTGTGACTAGCGTTTGAAGGGCGATATGACTGATTCGTGCTCGACCGAGTACTTTCTTGATGACTGTCTTCGTCATACCGATCAGCCGTTCCCAAAAACCTCCGTACCAATGTGCTCTCTTAGGTATAAATTCCCACTAGATTCCACGGTCGCTGAACGCTTTCTTCAGTGATCACGATTGAAATAGCTGCTTGAGTTCATCAGCTGCCGAGAGGTAGGTTGACGCGTTGTCTGATATCATCATGGAAGTGACTTCCGGCTAGCGAAGCGACGGAATGCTTGGATGAAGGTTTCTTCTGTTAAGTCGGTGACGATTTCCAGATGTATTGCTCTTGATGTCGCACAGGTGAAAAAACAGATGTATACCTTTGTCTCTGATCCATCAGTCTCATTAACAAACAGTGGGCCAGTGAAATCACCTCCGGTTACCTTGAACGGCACGACTTCATGTAGACGCGACTTCGGCAACGGTGCAGGATCGGGATCGGAATATGAAGTTCCCACAACCTTACGGCAGTTGACACAACAACGGAGTACTTTTTTCACAGACTGACGGGCTGTTGGTATCCAGAACTTCTGACGTAGTGCTGTAACGGTTGAATTTACACCTGCGTGTAACTGGTTTTGGTGGGCGTCTTGAATGACCAATTCTGTAAA